GTCTGGGACTTTTGAAATGCAAAATGGAACTAGACAGGGATGTCCACTATCCCCGTTATTGTTTGTATTATCCCTGGAACCTCTTCTGGCAGTGGTAATAAAGAATATAGATATTACAGGAATTAAGGGATTAAGATAGGAGAGGTGGAACATAAGGCAGCTGCATATGCAGACGGCATGCTGTTTTATATAGTGAACCCTAGGGTGGCACTACCTAACTTAATGGCACTTAACAGTGTGGAAACAGTATGGAGAGTTATCTCATTTAAAAATAAACCCTACAAAATCTGAGATTTTGAATATTAACGTGTTGAAGGCCGAAAGGAAGAACTTACAAGAAAAATTTCCATTTGCATGGAGGGAAAGAGATTTCAATTATTTAGGAATACAATTAACCCCTGCACAAAGGACCTATACCAGGTTAATTATATCCCACTAATAAATGAAATTAAAGAAGAGCTGAGAAGACTCAGTTTGAATTCTAAAGTGAGAGTTCAAACAAAACAACAGAAATTTATGGAGTAGAGTTAAAATATAGAAAGCCAGCAATCTTTTTATATACAAGAAAATGATCAAGTGAGGTTAAAACTAGACCAAATATAAAAAAAAACTTATCTAAAAGCCAAGACATATAGCTATACATAAATAAGTACCAGGATATTTCCAGTAGTTACCAGTTCAGTTGTGTGTGGGGGCCCTCTTAGTAACTGGTGGTCAAAAGACTAATTTTTTGCTAAAAGTCCTTCAGGAAGGAATGTAATAAACATTGGCCAGCATTGATGGAAAGGTGTATCTGCTGCCAGAAGTATCTTGGAGACCACCAATATTTCTGGCAGATACTTCCATGAAAGGACTAAACATACCATAAGGACACAGGAGATGCTCTGCTCTCCTGTTGCCGACCAGCTATGCCGAGTTTATAGTCTTGTTACATAAAGTCAGGAGGACAAACACAGAGCTCACTGTAATTTTATTCAGAGCCATCATGCAAAACATGGAAAATTGTTGCTTCACTTTTTGTACCCAGTACAAGATAGCAGACGCCATGCTAAAGGCCATCAGAAGATATTAGTGGCACTTCTCTAGAACACTCTCTCTACAACTGTGAAGTCTCAGATTGGACCACAATCTCTTTTCAGGAACCTTAAAAAAAACATTTTCAGGAACTTTCCCGGTCAATGTGATCTTTATGTTCTCAGCAAGAGCTCATAGCATTAGACCTGTGAGATTTTTATGTAAAAGTTTGTACTCCTTTTGAATTAAACAAAAGGATCCACATGAGTTACAATATACAGTCAGGTCTATATAAATATTGGGACATCAACACAATTCTAACATTTTTGGCTCTATACACCACCACAATGGATTTAAAATGAAACAAACAAGATGTCCTTTAACTGCAGACTGTCAGCTTTAATTTGAGGGTATTTACATCCAAATCAGGTGAACGGTGTAGGAATTACAACAGTTTGCATATGTGCCTCCCACTTGTTAAGGGACCAAAAGTAATGGGACAGAATAATAATCATAAATCAAACTTTCACTTTTTAATACTTTGTTGCAAATCCTTTGCAGTCAATTACAGCCTGAAGTCTGGAACGCATAGACATCACCAGACGCTGGGTTTCATCCCTGGTGATGCTCTGCCAGGCCTCTACTGCAACTGTCTTCAGTTCCTGCTTGTTCTTGGGGCATTTTCCCTTCAGTTTTGTCTTCAGCAAGTGAAATGCATGCTCAATCGGATTCAGGTCAGGTGATGGACTTGGCCATTGCATAACATTCCACTTCTTTCCTTTAAAAAAACTTTTTGGTTGCTTTTGCAGTCTGCTTTGGGTCATTGTCCATCTGCACTGTGAAGCGGCGTCCAATGAGTTGTGAGGCATTTGGCTGAATATGAGCAGATAATATTCCCGAAACACTTCAGAATTCATTCGGCTGCTTTTGTCAGCAGTCACATCATCAATAAATACAAGAGAAGCAGTTCCATTGGCAGCCATACATGCCCACGCCATGACACTACCACCACCATGCTTCACTGATGAGGTGGTATGCTTAGGATCATGAGCAGTTCCTTTCCTTATCCATACTCTTCTCTTCCCATCACTCTGGTACAAGTTGATGTCGGTCTCATCTGTCCATAGGATGTTGTTCCAGAACTGTGAAGGCTTTTTTACATGTCGTTTGGCAAACTCTAATCTGGCCTTCCTGTTTTTGAGGCTCACCAATGGTTTCCATCTTGTGGTGAACCCTCTGTATTCACCCTGGTGAAGTCTTCTCTTGATTGTTGACTTTGACACACATACACCTACCTCCTGGAGTGTGTTCTTGATCTGGCCAACTGTTGTGAAGGGTGTTTTCTTCACCAGGGAAAGAATTCTTTGGTCATCCACCACAGTTGTTTTCCGTGGTCTTCCGGGTCGTTTTGGTGTTGCTGAGCTCACCGGTGCGTTCCTTCTTTTTAAGAATGTTCCAAACAGTTGTTTTGGCCACGCCTAATGTTTTTGCTATCTCTCTGATGGGTTTGTTTTGTTTTTTCAGCCTAATGATGGCTTGCTTCACTGATAGTGACAGCTCTTTGGATCTCATCTTGAGAGTTGACAGCAACAGATTCCAAATGCAAATAGCACACTTGAAATGAACTCTGGACCTTTTATCTGCTCATTGTAATTGGGATAATGAGGGAATAACACACACCTGGCCATGGTACAGCTGAGAAGCCAATTGTCCCATTACGTTTGGTCCATTAACAAGTGGGAGGCACATATGCAAACTGTTGTAATTCCTACAACGTTCACCTGATTTGGATGTAAATACCCTCAAATTAATGCTGACAGTCTGCAGTTAAAGCACATCTTGCTCGTTTCATTTCAAATCCATTGTGGTGGTGTATAGAGCCAAAAATGTTAGAATTGTGTCCATGTCCCAATATTTATGGACCTGACTGTAAATGTATGTGAGATCTCCATTGACAGATGTAAATAATATTATAATAAGAAATATATTTTATTTAAAGTTTGATCATTCTGGTTGTGTAATACGTTGTCTTATCTGTCCAGGTTGTGAAGATAGATGGGAATTGTTTAATTGAATGTAAGCTGCCCAGGGGGGATATTCTATTAATTACAGGTGATACTGTATGCTAGGTGTGACAATAGACTGAGACTATTCAGTGCCTGGGTCCTTATGTAGACAATGGGGTCCAGATCTCTTTGTTTTCCAGATACCCTGTCAGGAATGGACTTGCCAGTAATGGTGGGACTCACCTGCCTTGTGGGCTGCAGTACCAGGGCTGGCCAGCGGGTGCTCTCAGCAATCAGAGACTCAACCCTGCAGCCAGCCAAACACCTGAAGCTGATTATGCAGGTGTATTTAATGGATGGCCAGAGCTGCAGTCTGTGCCTTGGTGTGTGTTTTTCCATGGGCCCCTGTATCTTGTAACCTGCGTTCCTGTTCCTGCCCCTGCCTCTGCCTCTGCCTGACTTGTTGCCGACCCGGTCTGATCCTGATCTCTGCTGACTTCTCCTGTTTTGATCCCTGGCTTGTGACCCTGACCATTCTCTACGCCTGCTCCTCCTGTACCTACCTGCCCGTTAGTTATCGACCCGGCCTGCCTGATTACGTTGTGCTCTATATGTGTATGTACCTGTGTATCTGTATCAGTTTAGGTTTGGGTTTGTTTCACCTTGTTGCATGTATTTGTGTTAGCTTGGGGTTTGGTGCACTGCGTTTATGTTTGTATTGTTAGTCTTTAATAAATTGTCTTATTGTTTATAACATATCTGAAGCCTGCGTTTCCCTGCATCAGTTCACATACCTCTGGTCATACCCGGAGCCCTGACAGTACACCAAGGCCAATCCTGACCAGAAGTGGCTGCACAGGGAAGCCATCTTGGCTTGTTGCTGGGAAGGATGGATCTTGATGAGGTTGTGTATTTATCTCTGCTGGTTTTTGATGACAGAGAATATGCTTATCAGACTCTGAGGGAGTATACCCGGGATCAACTGCTAGAATGCATACGGATCGCTCATGTTCTAGTAGATCAGGGCACAGAGTTCTCTGAGGTGCAATCTTTGATTCAGGTTTGTGTAGAGTTGGCTTCATCTGGTACCCCTGAAAGCAGGAATGACTTTTTGCCACCATTTAGTGCAGAACAGGTAGAGTCCCTGGTGTGGTTATTAGAGGATGATGTGGATTGCTTCTTGGAGCATTATGCTGCATGTTCACCACAGGTATTAAGGGATTGTATAAACGCAGTGCAGTCTTTGACCAGACAGGCTTTGTGTAAGCTGAGCTTTGTTCAACCCATACTGCAGACATGGTCAGACTTGTTGCACCCAGCCTCAGTCAGCTTACAACGTCATTCCTCCGCTCAAGGCACTCTTCCTACATCCCGACAGCACCCCCAGTGATGGCCCAGTATACTCTAACTACCACATATCAGCCCTCTGCTCTCACTCGCTGCACCTATCCTGCCTTTAACCCTGTAAAGAAGTCCTCTGTAGCAACTGCTCCCTCCTCTGTTCCATCCTCCAGCTCTTCTCTGTCTTTAGCTGCTCCATCCGTTTACAAACCTGTGCTTACTTACAGTGCTCCAGTAACTAAAACCAGAAAAAAGCAAAAATTCTTCCCAACCAGTACCATCCTGCCAGTATCCAAACCAGTGAGCCTGCCATCTGAAAACCTGCGTTCCATGGTTCAGCCTGGTGCCCCGGCACCCGCACTTCAGCCTGATGTCTCTACCCAGCCTGATGTCTCTACCCAGCCTGATGAACTGATCCAGCCTGATGATCCTATCACGCCTGATGACCCAGTGCCCGCTGTCATGCCTGGTGACCCGATGCCCGCTGTCGAGCCAGACGATCCAATGCCTGATGACCCGGTGCCCGCTGTCGATCCAGACGATCCGGTACCTGATGACCCAGTGCCCGCTGTCATGCCTGGTGACCCGATGCCCGCTGTCAAGCCAGACGATCCAGTGCCTGATGACCCGATGCCCGCTGTCGTGCCAATTGACTCAGAGCCCACTGTCGTGCCTGGTGACTCAGTGCCCACCGCCTTGCCAGATGACGCGGTGCCCGCTGTCGAGCCAAATGACCTGATGCCTGGTGACCTGATGCCCGCTGTCGAGCCAGACGATCCAATGTCTGACTCAGTGCCCGCGGTCATGCCAGTTGACTCGGAGCCCACTGTCGTGCCTGGTGACTCGGTGCCCACTGCCTTGCCAGATGACGCGGTGCCCGCTGGCGAGCCAAATGACCTGATGCCTGGTGACCCGGTGCCCGCTGTGATGCCTGGTGACCCGATGCCCACTGTCGAGCCAGACGATCCAATGCCTGATGACCCAATGCCCGCTGTCATGCCTGGTGACCCGATGCCCGCTGTCGAGCCAGGCGATCCAGCGCCAGATGACCCGGTGCCTGCTGTTGAGCCAGATGATCTGGTACCTGATGACCCGGTGCCCGCTGTCGTGCCAATTGGCTCAGAGCCCACTGTCGTGCCTGGTGACTCGGTGCCCACTGCCTTGCCAGATGACGCGGTGCCCGCTGTCGAGCAAAATGACCTGATGCCTGGTGACCCGATGCCCGCTGTCAAGCCAGACGATCCAATCTCTGACCCAGTACCCGCGGTCATGCCAGTTGACTTGGAACCCACTGTCGTGCCTGGTGACTCGGTGCCCACTGCCTTGCCAGATGACGCGGTGCCCGCTAGCGAGCCAAATGACCTGATGCCTGGTGACCCGATGCCCGTTGTTGTGCCTGGGGGCCCGGTGCCCGCCGCTCTGCTTGGGGGCCCGGTGCTTGCCGCCCCTCCTAGGGGCCTGGTTCCCGCTGCTCTGCCTGAGGGCCCAGCACCCGCCGCCCCTCAAGGGGGCCCGATGCCTGTCGCTCCGCCTGGGGGCCTGGTGCCCCCGCCGCCCTGCCCTGGTGGCCGGTGGCCTGACGCCCGCCGCTCCGCCCGGTGGCCCGGCGCCCGCCGCTCCGCCCGGTGGCCTGGCGCCCGCCGCTCCGCCTGGTGGCCTGGTGCCTGCTGCTCCGCCTGGTGATCCAGTGTCCGCCGCTCCGCCTGGGGGCCCGGTGCCTGCTGCTCCGCCTGGTGATCCGGTGTCCAGCCCGATGTGCCTCTGCCCGGGCTCGTCCAGCTGCCCGATGTGCCGATGTGCCTCTGCCCGGAGTCCTGCCCGATGTGCCGCTGCCCGGAGTCCTGTCCGATGTGCCGCTGCCCGGAGTCCTGCCCGATGTGCCGCTGCCCGGAGTCCTGCCCGATGTGCCGCTGCCCGGAGTCCTGCCCGATGTGCCGCTGCCCGGAGTCCTGCCCGATGTGCCAGTCTTTGATATCCCGCCAGTTACCAGACCCGGGCGGTGGAACATTTTGCCCAGCTAGGACTGTTTGGAGCGTCCTGAGGCCGCTCCTTGAGGGGGGGTACTGTCAGGAATGGACTTGCCAGTAATGGTGGGACTCACCTGCCTTGTGGGCTGCAGTACCAGGGCTGGCCAGCGGGTGCTCTCAGCAATCAGAGACTCAACCCTGCAGCCAGCCAAACACATGAAGCTGATTATGAGGTGTATTTAAGGGATGGCCAGGCCTGCAGTCTGTGCCTTGGTGTGTGTTTTTCCATGGGCCCCTGTATCTTGTAACCTGCGTTCCTGTTCCTGCCTCTGCCTCTGCCTCTGCCTGACTTGTTGCCGACCCGGTCTGATCCTGATCTCTGCTGACTTCTCCTGTTTTGATCCCTGGCTTGTGACCCTGACGATTCTCTCTGCCTGCTCCTCCTGTACCTACCTGCCCGTTAGTTATCGACCCGGCCTGCCTGATTACGTTGTGCTCTATATGTGTATGTACCTGTGTATCTGTATCAGTTTAGGTTTTGGTTTGTTGCACCTTGTTGCATGTATTTGTGTTTGCTATGGGTTTGGTGCACTGCGTTTATGATTGTATTGTTAGTCTTTATTAAATTGTCTTTTTGTTTATTACATATCTGAAGCCTGCGTTTCCCTGCGTCAGTTCACATACCTCTAGTCATACCCGGAGCCCTGACATACCCATTTCAAAGGATCCTCTTGGTTAGATATGCAGTGAGGGTGTCCAGCCTTTCAGGAATGCCTAACTTGTCCTTTGGAGACTCTGTAATTTTCCCTCCAAAAAGATCTGCTGGAAGGTTGCTATAACTATGAACTTTCTCTGAGATCTATTATCTCTAGTGATATAATTTAGTAAAGCATTTACATTTTGGGTAACTTAATTTGTGACCATTTGTCAGAACATTCAAGTGAGGGTTTTCCATGTAGCACAGATAAACTAGGTACCTTTTGTTTTATTAGCTGGTATTGGAAGAACTCCAAATCAAGGAGGGAGAACTCAAAAAGTAAGGATATACCATAGAATTTGTAATAATATTTAGATATCCCAAAATCATATTGGACAGACAGTCCATTAAAAACAGATCAATATAATGGGAGGATATCATGAGTGGGACATTTTTGGTTTAATTTGATTTGTTTCTTTTTTGCTCAACTTTCTTGGATTTGTGTTTTTGTTGGTGACATATTTTTATTAGGAAGGCACATAAAGCTGTTTTGTTTTTGTAAAAGTGTTTACTTATTTTTATTTTCTTGGATTTTTTTTATTTTATAAGGCAATAAAGCTTGACTTTTTTTTGTTTTTAAATAATATCCCTAACAGTGTTTTTTTTTATTATTTATGTTAACGAACACATTGTATTTTATGAGGGGAATTTAAATGTTTTAAACATTCTCATTGCTGAAAAAATGGAAATTCATAGAATTTACTTCCAATTATTTAAAATAATTATGAGTTTTGGTCTTTCTGTGTGAGGTTAAAAAATGTTCTAGGGTATGGAGCTGTGTATGTGTGATCTGTTTGGGCAGATACATATTCATTGGATTGTGTTTTTAATATCTGTTGCATCTAGAATACTTTATTATAAGTTGAGGTTGACTTTTGAGGTGTACTGCCCCCCTAACATTGTCTGTTGAATTGGTTGTGGTAGTCATTAGGATAACACTGCCAGTGTTTACTGTTCCTATTGTCTTCCTGGGGGGTCCACCTGTACTATTGTCCATTGTAAGCTTACTGTACATACTGCATCCCATCACTTCTGTTGATCATGTTCCCTCTGTTTTTAGGTATTTTACTTTATTATTTTTTAGTGATGTACTGTTGTATAGTTAATCCATAATCCATAAGCCCATGGCACCAGACACAGGAGGATGTGAAATTAAAGCTCTTAGAGAAAATTCAGTAAATGTGATGGAAAGACTAGACTAGACTAACGTTTGCTGCTGTTGGATGGCTGAACAATGTGAACACATTAAAGGGTTCAAAAAGAAGAACTTTGAATGAGTATCTGGTATTTTTAGATTGAAGGGTGTCATGTGGAAGGGTGCAGACAAGACCACTCATTGCTTGAATTTTGGGCAGGTCATCAGAAATGTTCAGATTTTCTCTCACTTTTATCTCAGTCCCAGTGTCTATGGTCACCAGGGCAATTGGTTTGATCTCTCCAGTGCGGAAATAGACCACAATAAAACCATTACAGGCGTTCTAATCCTTCCCTACTTTATCCAAAATTGGAGACAAAATAAAAATTTTCAGATGCACGGTGGCTGTGTATCCAATTGCCTACTGAGTAGTTGTACAAGCTAGGACTTAGCCATTGGATGGTTCAGTGGATATGCAGCTGGCTACAGGATAGATACCAGAGTGTGGTTGTAAATGGGGTTCACTTGGAAAATAGACCAGTCCCTAGTGGTGTATCACAAGGCTCCATACTAGGTCCTTTTCTGTTTAATCTAATCTAATGTAAGTGATATAACTAAAGGTTTGCTGGGTAGGGGATGTCTCTTTGCTGATGACACAAAGGTGTGCAATAGGGTTGTAGATTGTAAGCTCGAAAGAGCAGGGCCCTCGAACCCCTCGTGTATTGTATTGTACTGTATTGTCTCATGTTCTTTCCCCCATGCTAATGTACAGCGCTGAGCAAACCCTTTGGCGCTTTATAAACACTATATAATAATAATAGGGTTGATATCCCTAGAGGTGTCTGTAACATGGAACATGATTTGGCATTGCTGGAAGACTTGTAAAACAAAAAGTGGGAATTGCAGTTCAGTGTTTCTAAATGTAAAGTTATGCACCTAGGGAAAAAGAATCCTTGAGAGAGTACAACATTGGGGGTACAGTGTTGGCCAGCACTACAGAGGAAAAGGATTTGAGGGTACTTATTTCAGGTGATTGCAAAATGAGCAGTGTGACCAGGCAGTAGGGAAATCAAATAGAATTCTAGGATTCATCACTAGAGGGGTCACCAGAAAGAGAAAGGAGGTCCTGATTTCTCTATATAGATCTTTTATATCATTAGAGGGGTCACCGGCAGGAGGTGGGAGGTTCTGATTCCTCTACATAGATCTTTATATCACTAGAGGGGTCACTAGGAGGAGGAAGGAGGTCCTGATTCCTCTGTATAGATCTTTATATCACTAGAGGGGTCACTAGGAGGAGGAAGGAGGTCCTGATTCCTCTATATAGGTCTTTATAACACTAGAGGGGTCACCGGCAGGAGGAAGGAGGTCCTGATTTCCCTTTATAGATCTTTAGTAAGACCACATTTAGAATTCTGTGTCCAGTTCTGGAGGCCTCATATACAAAAATATATTGGTAAGATAGAGAACGAGTCCAGAGACAGGCAACAAAAATGGTGAAAGTTCTGGGGGAAAAAAATATCAAGAACAACTTCAGGAACTTAACATGTACAGTCTGGAGGAAAGAAGGGAAAGGGGAGACTTGACTGAAACCTTTAAATACTTCAAAGGGGTGAATAAGGTTCAGGAGGGAAGGATTTTAAACATGACACCAAAATCTACAACACGGGGACATTGACCTCCAACTAACTGGAGGAAAATTCAAAACTAATCTCAGAAAGTATTATTTTACTGAAAGAGTAGTTAATACTTGGAATAAACTTCCAGTAGAGGTAGTGAGCCAGTCAACAGTAAATAGCTTCAAACATGCTTGGGACAAACATAGATCTATACTCAGACAAAAAAAATTGACAAAAAAAAAAAGAAAAGAAAATGAAAAACTGGACAGACTCGATGGACCACTCTTTTTCTGCCCTCTCACAGAGCCATTGTGTTCTCTCTGTGTGGGGGTGTAGGGAGCAATCCCTGCCAGAAGAACACAGTGATTACTGCTAGCAGCTATAGTTGCTGGTAATATTTGTA